TGATCATTTTCAAATAAAAATGGCCCAATGATGTCAACGTGCTAAAATCCGTACCAAGCACTCGTTGCGGGTGCATTGGCTTCTTAATGATAACGTTCGGATTTTCTGAGCCCCAAATGCGGCAATTTTATTAATTGACATATCCTTTGATGTGAAAATGGGCTTCATCTAAATTTTAGATTCTAAAAAGATGATTTTTCGGTAAAAATGCTCATCTTCGGCCAAGCGATGTTTTCGGTTGAACGCACTGGACGAGAACGTACTAGGTTGTTTTGTCCATTAACGATCCACTTTTACAAACTCGCTTATCCTATCTCTTCGTGGAAAATTTCTACGTAAATTTCTTACAGTTTGCGTTAAAGTCTCACCACTTTGGATGTAAGTTTTAATATTTCCCACTTTTGTTCAAGCGTATAGCGTTCCATTTTGCATTTTCTGTCAATAAATAAATTTCATTCTACCTTTTTGAAACAAAATAATCGGTAGTTCAAATTTAAAACTTGACATGGCCCCTTATACCTATGTATTTTTTCTATAAAAATTTAGAAAAAATACATTGTAAAATTTTTAGAAAATAGGACGTAATTAGTTTTACACTGAAAAAAAATTAACCTTAATTATCAAAGTCCCATGGTGGGAGTTTGATGTGTGGAGCATAGCACTTCCTATTAATAAACAATAAAATTAAAAAATAATATTTTAAAAATGCCTATATTTACTGAACATATAGTTGGCTGGATCTTCTGTTAGTTATTTTCGAACGCTACGATACTTGCGCGATGCAAAATCTATAGTATTATTAAATTAATCCCCGACATCAATGCTCTGCATTTATAACCTATAATAATTATTGTAATTACTTCAGTCAGTGATAAGCCGGTTTTAAGCAATCATATTGTGTTGATAGTTTTCTCTCATTCTAATTCTTGTACGCTTTTTTAATGAAGACAACTGTATATGTAGATGCGTTGTTACAAAACATAATAAATTTATAAAATAATCAGTATTATACCTATAGCCGGTTAAGCCGGCTAAAAAAGTTAGTTAATTAGCTAGCTAACTGACCAGCTTAGCTAATTTAACCGGTTAACTGAATTAGCTTAGCTAATTAGCTGGCGGCTTAACCGCTTAATCTAGCTTAGCTCAGCTAATTAGCCAACAGCTAAACGGCTAATTAGCGAAATACAAATAATTATTAAAAAGTTCAGCATAAAATTTAAAATGTAAATTTTATATTTACAGCTTAAAAAAGTTAAAAGTTAAGAACTATACGAGAAAATAGTAAATAATTTGTAAATGCGAATTGTGAAAAAAAACGAAATTTATATAAAAATACAACCCCGAATATGTACAGTGGCCGACACGGAATTTTGAACGACATAACTTGGTTGTCAATGTATACATCTGTAAATAGCAAAGATACAATATTGAGCATTTTTGCTTTCGCTGTCAAAATTACAATACTAGTGATAACCAAAAGTAAGGTTAGTTGTCCATAAAGAAAGTTTAGATTTTGATGTCAACGGGATGATAGTCGTTCAAAATTCCGTGTCGGCCACGGTACTTGCAGATGTTTTTCCATAGAATATGTATTGTAGAAAATAATGTAAAGTAAATTTATTTTATAAAACCTGTATTTAATTCAATTTTTGGTTTTAAACAATTTTAAAATATTTATGGACAATACTACAATTGTTGTCGAAATAGATCGAAAAAGGAAAACAATTCTTCCACCGTTACAGATAAAACATAACCTTTTTAAGGACTTTGTCAAAGCGTTGAACAAGGAAGTCTAAGCGTTAACTTATCTTTAAACCCTTTTCAAAAGTCTTTCTATAACGAAAATCAGGGAAAGATTCTTTGAGGGCCCAAAAATAGGGAAACTGCTTAAAAACTAAAACATTTATCATTATTTGTTACTGACAAATTGTTACTCAAAGCCTGTAACTCAATTAAGTTAGTTGTTTCTGGTTTCCTTGGAAATAATAATCCGAAATACGAGATTGGACGAATTGGAAAATTGGAAATGGTTACAATTTACTTAATTGCATTTTTTAAATATATTTTATTCATTTAATGAACATGCGTAATGGCGGGTTTACGAGTCACTCGTGTGGGTTTGAGGTTTGCGTGCGTTTCCTGGGCCTTCGCGTCAACTCGTTCTTCCTGACGCGACCCCATTTACGAGTTTCAAAGGCGCGTGTTTGCTCACCTTCGAACGTCATGACGCGTCAGGTGGTTCCTCAGTGCGTGTGTTTTGATTTCGTCTGGAGCGAGTTCGAAAACTCGCAAGAGTGCACTCTGGATACACTCCAAGTTTACCTTGCGCGTTCGAAATCTCTGGTATATACCTTAGAAAACAGCAAGTACATGCCCAGAGTGCACTCTCGGTCGTCCAAGCTTTAGACTTTGTTAAGTTTTACCCGTCATGGGCATAGGGTACATCAAACAATAATTTGAATTTTCCTTCATATAATTTATTAATATCCATTTAAAACAGTTTAATAAAATAATTTATTTAAAATAAATTATTTAAAAAATATCAACTCTAAAAAAACAAAAAATATAGCACAAAAACTTTAATAAACCATATAACTAAAGGGTTGAAACACAATAATTTAATATTTATATATTCAGTCAAATAACAAGCAAAACCAATTGGTTTTAGAACACTACAACATAAAGTTTATAGGTATATGCTCTGCGGCGTTCGAAAATAACAAGGAGGTCAGGTATAATTTAAAGTCACGTGATTATAAACTTATCCTTATAAAGGGTGATCCAATTAGTGCTTTAGGATTTTAAAACAAAATAAAACACAAACATTGTTGCAAGGCCAAAGTATTTTGTTTTTATTTAAAAGACTAACTAATAACAATTATGTTTTGAAAATAATATCGGTCAAATGTCCTCCACGACTTTGTTGACAATAGCGCATTCGAATAGTACAATTTAACATTACGTTTTCACACATTTGGACCGGTATCTCACGAATAACATTTCTGATGTTGGTTTTTAAATCCTCAATTGTTCTTGGATTGTTAGCGTAGACCTTCGACTTCACATAACCCCACAGGAAGAAATCACACGGCGTTAAATCACAAGATCTTGCTGGATAAATTACGGGGCCATTTCTTGAAATAACTTTTTCACCAAAGTGCTCTTGCAATAACTCCATGGTTTCGTTGGCGGTGTGGCACGTAGCGTCCTAACGTCCTGTTGGAACCACAATTGTTCCAGTTCGTTTTCAATAACAATTGGCAAGAAATAGTCGTTCAACATTGCCCGATAACGAACTCCGTTTACCGTAACACGCTCTCCTTGGGCATTCTCGAAGAAATAAGGCCCAATGATTCCACGCGCATGGATGGCACACCACACTGTAACCTTTTCTGGATATGCATGAGGATTCTCCTCAAACCCAAATTCTGCAGTTCTGCTTATTAACATAGCCGTTTAAAAAAAATGAGCCTCATCGCTGAACATTACAGTAAGATTAAAAAACGGATCTTCAGTCAAATGTTCGATCGCCTAAGCAGCGAAATTACGACGACAACGATGATAATTGGGCTTTAGTTCTTGAACCAATTGAATTTTCTATGGATGCAAACCCAAATCCTTTCGTAAAATCCTCCAGGTTGATCCATATGTAAGGTCCAATTGCTGAGAACGACGTCTAACAGACAAATTTGGATTATTTTGAACACTTTGTCTTACAGCTTCAACATTGTCTGCATTTCTCACATTTCTGACACGATTTGTTCTTGGATTATTGAACAATGTAAACTCATTTTCAAATTTCTTCACAACATTACGAATTGCTTGTTCACTTGGTCGTTGATGTGGACCATATCGTGCACGTAATATGCGCCAAGTTGCCTTTACAGAGCTTTGGTTTTGATAATAAATTTTAATAATCTCGCAACGTTGCTCTGGTGTTAAATGTTCCATGTTGTTTTGTAATAACCTAACCTACAAAACTGTCAAATGGAAATAAATTTCGCATGTACAGTGTTGCCAAAATTTCACTTTAAAATCCTAAAGCACTAATTGGATCACCCTTACCATATCCAAAGTAGACTCTCATTTCAAACGCACTCCTGATGTCTCATACTTTGGGAAAATGGAACCATTTTTAATTCGTCGAACCGCAATATTAATGAATTTAGCTCGTCTGCTAATTTTACTGAAAAAAATACAAGCGTCATCGCCGTTTTGGTGTTCGTCCCCTGTTCCAAAGACGAATCGAACAGGGTGACGGACATAACCTTATTCGGGAGCTTCGTTTCGACAGTGCTCTATTCTTTAATTATACTTTAATTCTATAGAATATGTTGACACAACACTTCTCCCACGCAGGCTACGCGGCTGATGCCATTGGCTGGCCATGTCACGTGATATCGGCTTCAAGGCGCGCGATCTTTTTACGGCGTAAAGTTTTTTTCCCGGATAAAAACCAAGAAGCGTCAAACTGGCTGAGATTTGGCGCACGCGTTCTTTTAACGCACGCGAGGTCACTTATAAACGATCCCATTGCCCACCATGAGTTAAATCAGTCGCGCGCGTTGGCTAGCTCGCGACCTCCAAACGCACGCGAGTGACTCGTAAACCCGCCATAAATATCCCTAAATACCCATTTCTTGCACTCACCCTTTTTTTCGAAAAATTCGTGAAGTTTATGGTATGGTTTCGCCAAGAAATGAAGTCTACTATCAGGGATTTTGGAATGGACAAATAATGGAAGAGTATATTTTTTTCTTCATAAGAGGAATGCATTAAAAATAATATAGCGGCACTAAACGTACAAAAAATTTAATGTAATTGATACTTATTTATTAAGTAATGTTCGTAAAAAATGAAGTATTTTTTTATCAAACAAATTTTGAAAATTAAATAATAAAATTTATATAGGTATAAAATATTTTATTTTTTTTTTAAACCAAAAGCCCATTTTCAGTGTGTTGGTTACTTTTTAATGGTAAATATACTGTTTGTTTCAGACATGGCTGTTTCTCCATCACGATCTCTTCCACCATTAACGCATCGACGTTCTGTTCATTCATCTATTGGTACACCTGAATGTAGCACCGGAGACATTTTACAAAATCGCCTTCGACAGTTGTTAGTTTGCGATAGTGCTGAAGAACTAAGTGTTGATCAAATGGCACCTTTAAGCCCGCCAGCCGAATATGCTGGCAATCGTTGTCATAAAAGCTTGCCAGATCTGCATTGCCGCGGCATCGAACCTAGCTCAAATAAGAGCAGCAATAAAAGTCTCTCGAATAGAGATAGTGGGGGTTCAAGTGGGCACTATACACAACGAAGCGAACCAGCTCCACCACCTAGACAGGTATATGTTCTAATTACACTATTATAGTTAATTTAACCATTTAGCTGTACTTATCTTAAAGAAAAACATTGCAATTTAAAAGGTTACAATAAAAATAATTATGTAGTTTGGAACAGAAAGAGCTGGTGTCAATTGTTAACCCTTTTAAGTTAAAAGCATTTTATAATGTAAATTTGAGACTCTTTGTATTTAAAAAACCCAGAAGTCTGTATATTTTACGATTTATAAATAAAATAAAAAGACCTAAGTGGAAATCTAGACTTATATGAAAAAGACCCAAGGATAGCTAATATCTATAAATTAACCTTTTTTCGTAAAAATATTTAAATTTATTTAAACCAGCCATTTTGTTTTAATTCGATCCTTTTCTTTTAGAACTGCATTTTTTTACTCTGTTTTTTGTTTAAACAACTTTCTTTTCGTATAAAAGATACCTGAAAAGTTTTAATGGATCCGACGCATTTTCAATACGAAACCATTTACTTCGTCAGCGTTTTCAAAAAAATCATACACCTTCGGCCAATCGGCCAAAGGTCTTAAAATAACCGAACATCCGCTTCGGCCGAAAAACTTACCCTCAGTCAGATACTAACAAACGGCCAATACCGAAAGTGGGTAGAGGAGCACCGATAGATGTACCTTCAAATGTATAGATCGACTAGCAATCGAACTCTGAACAACTTTTTTGCTGTTGCCTGTGAGTCTTGTTATGGGAACGATATATGGGGCAGTTAATTTTTAACATTTGGTCTTTACATTTGTAAGCTTTACCAAAATATTATATTCAATTTTAAATATTTGTTTTAAAATGTGATTAGGTGTTGGGTATAAGTTTTCACTTTAAAATTCGATGCACTCTTTATTTTGTTTATTAAGCTATATTAATAATAATAATAATTTATTGCCCAACAGAATACATATTCCAATTACAGGACAAAGAAAAAAGATATAAAATGAACTTAATATTTTGTTAAAAAAAAACATATAATAAAAAATAATATCATGAATAATATAAATTAAATAAAAATTAAAATTCCAAATTATTTTGACCGAGAAAAAAAAATCATGAGCTCTGGACGTAATTTCCTTAATGTTTGAATTAAACAAATCGCACTGGTTACCTATACAATTATAATTACTACACATAACATGAACATGAGATTTCAAAAGCACGTTAGTTCTTGAGGAACTACAATAAAAATTTTTACTTCCACGAGATTCCAAACGTGGCACTAAAATATTTAAGAGACTCAATAAATGACAAGAATGTATTTGGTAATTAAAAAGTTTCCACAGAAATTTTAAACTTGTCACTATTCGTCTAACATGTAGGGTATCAAAATTAAAACGCGTTAAGAGGATGTTATGGTCAGTTCCTCTAGCAGGATAAATATGATCAACTCTGTAGTAGAGAAGTTTAAGGAATCTTCTTTGTACTTTTTCAATTGAGTCAATATGTACGTTATAATACGGGTACCAAACAAGTGAGCAATATTAGAGCTTTGTTCTAACAAGATAAAAATACATTGATTTTAGTGTTACAAAAATTGGTAGAATTCCGACTTATAAAACCCAGGAGCTTTAAAGCAGATTGCACAGTATTATTAATGTGGGATGTAAAAGAAAGCTTATTATTAAAGAGTACATCAAGGTCACGAATTTCATGACAGCGAGAAAGAATAGTATTATCTAAAGTGTAATTAAATATGATGTGCCTATTTTTAATACTAAAAGTACAGATTTTGCATTTATAAATGTTTAGGTCGAGTTTGTTAACTTTGCACCATCTTAAAATAATGCTTAACTGATCCTGAAAGAGTTCGCAATCTGTATAACTGGAAATACTGGTAAATATTTTTAGGTCATCAGCAAACAGTAGATGATTACAATTAAGTTGTAATGACAAGTCATTAATAAATAAAATGAACAAAAGCGGACCCAAGTTAGAGCCTTGAGGTACTCCACTGCTCGCATAGAAATAATCGGAGTTGTAGCCATTATATGAAACAGATAATTTGCGCTCACACAAATATGAATAAAACAAATTAATAAGGGAGTGACTAAAACCAAAAAAGTGTAACTAATTAGGCAAAATTTGGTGATCAAAACTGTCAAAGGCCTTAGAAAAATCCGTGTATACAGCATCTACTTGAAGTTTTTTGTCAAGTTGTTCTGAAACAAATTGCGTGAATTCAGCTAAGTTGGATACAGTCGAGCGTTTATTCATAAATCCATGCTGCTGCGTGGAAATTAGTTTACTTACCTCATTGTAGATGCAGGTATACAGGGAAGATTCAAAGACTTTCGCAAAATTAGACAGAATAGCTGTATGTCTATAGTTTTTAATATCGCTAGGATAACCTGATTTTAAAATAGGGCAAACTCTGGTTATTTTCCATAAATCTGGAAAAGGAGACGTTGACAATATCATATTGAACAATATTAAGAGAGGATATGCAAATATTAACGAGCAATCTTTTATTAAGAACTTTGGGATGAGGTCAACACCACATGAATAATTGTTTTTTAGTTTAGACATACTCCGTAATATAAGCTCCTCAGAAAATGCAGTAATATTTATATCTGAATTAAATGTAAACTCAGGAGTCAAAGCAGTATTCTCATCACTGACAGAATAAACACTACCAAAATAATCAGCAAAGCCATTAACAACATCTTGAGGAGTTTCATATTGTATATCGTTTAAAAAGACATTGGCTGGTATTCTGGTTTTACCACGTTTTTCGCGCATAATTAATTTGTAAGTCTCATCTGGCCGACCACTTGAGGGTTCATTACAAAAAGACCAAATAAGCAAGTTTTGGTAGAGTTCTTAAATATAAACATAAAAATAGCGTGTTAAAAACCAAGAGAATTGAGTAGAGTTTAGACAGTTAGGGTTTGCTGTTTGAAGAGAATATTTGAATTCTTTAAGTGTTGTAAGGGAGTGAATTTAACTCTTCAATAATTCATTGATTTTATATAAATTCAGTTTGAGAACTTCAACTGCTATTGATAAGACTTTATCAGGATAATAATGATGTTGGGGATAATGTAGATTATGACGATAATCAAGGATGATTTAATTTTGATCAGGTGTGTCATGTTTATTTTTATTTTATATTTTATTATTAATTTTTGTTTTATCAAATCTTTGACTTCTTGTTTCATATTTTTTTTTATGTACTGACAAATAAACATGACATTGTTAATATTATTAACCATTGACATGTTACGTTGACGTTTGACTTTACACTTGTATTGTATATTTTTTTGACAATGTTTATTTATTTTAATTTTATTTTCTGATTAGTCTTTCTTTTATTTTTTATGTATGGTAAATGTATTTGATGTAAGCCATAATATACCTATGTGACTTATAAATGGGGAAGTGCACAGAGCAGGGGCGCACTCAGCCCAAAAGCCAGTAGTAGGCAGGGGCGTACTCACCCCAATATAATATGGAGGACAGGGTCGTATTTAGTTTTAGTTACCTAGGTTTAGGGATTTTAAAAGCTTGACAAGCCTCCGTATATCATTTAACAACCTTTTAAAGGGGCGTCTGTAATGAAAGCGATAAATGGGGCAGTTAATTTTTAACATTTTGTACTTTAAATTTGTAAGCTTTACCAAAATATATTACATTTTAAATATTTGTTTTAAAATGTTATAAGGTGTTAGGTATACGTTTTCACTAGAATTTGATGCACTCTTTATTTTGTTTATTATGCTATATTAATTTATAAGTCTCATCTGGCCGACCACTTGAGGATTCGTTACAGAAAGTCCAAATAAGCAAGTTTTGGTACAGTTCCTAGTCTTAAAAATAAACAGACAGAATAGACAGTTAGGGTTTGCTGTTTAAAGAGAGAATAATATTATTTTAATTCTTTAATTGTTGTAAGGGAGTGAATTAAACTCTTCAATAATCCATTAATTTCATATAAGTTCAGTTTTTGTGAAAGTGTTGTTGATTTAAATAGGTATATAATAATTATATAATAATTATAATCTAAGGTCACAAATATCATAATGAGTGGTTAATTATTTAATATTTAATTTAAACTATATTTTATTATTATTTCAACTTGTTCTTTGTGAAAGAAGGAATGAGCTGGACTTTGTATTTTGTGGTTGTGGTTGGATAACCAAATTACAAATTTATTATAATCATTATTTTATGTTTATAATTATTATATTTGTATTACATTTACTTTAACATATTATATTCTATTTTACTACATATTTCTATTTAACATTTACATACTTTATTTTGTACAGTTTACCTTATTTAATTTATTTGATAAATTGAAAAAAGGCTCAACATAATAAAGAATGAAATTTATTATGTTGAGCCTTTTTTTCAATTTTGGCACAACAAATACTTGTTAGAATTTCTTTCTATTGTTTAACGCTGTTGATAAGGTCGAAGGGGTCGAGCCCGGGATTACCAGTAATTAATAATAATTAATCCACCCATTCTTGCAATGAATTTAGGGCCCATGATGTGAGTTTTTCTGATTGTGTTGGTTATTTATGACTCTACAATTAAATTGCATTACTATTGTCCACTACTATACCACTTGTTATTTATATATTTAATTTACCACTGCCATCAGATCATTATAATAGTTCAATTAGTCTATTTGCCTTTGACGCTTTTTACTTATATTTCTTTGTATTTAAATACTTTGTAGATATTTTATAAAAATAAATATTATTATTATTATTATTATTATTATTTATTATTGTTGTTTTTCACCTAAGTTATAATGACTATGTTTCATATTATTGTTGTTTGTTGCTGTAAATTAATAATTATTTCAATTAGAATTTGCTTTTCTACACCGTCCGAGCCTATTATTTATGTAGGTGTAGATTTTGTATTATTTATATTGTTGAGATGTGCGACATATATGCATTTCTGGATTGTATATGGGGGTTTTTTAAGGTTAACATTTTTAACTTAAATCGATGATACTTTTCAAATATACATAATT